GAGGCGTTGGAGCGGGGTAGTATCGGGACAGGCTTTGAGACAGAACGGCTCCAACGGCAGGACTTCACAGCTCGTGCCTAAATCTCGCCATATGGTTAGGCGAGAGGGCTGAGAAGGCTCAGATTCCCCATGAATTTACTGGAGAGCTTTAGGTCGGGCATTTATTTCTTAGCAGGTCTTCCTCGGAGGCTTACTCGTAAAATAATAGTCTCATGCCCTTCTTTGGGCCCCAATGAGAAAAACTTATATATAATAAGAAAAAAAAAGATCACTAATGTAGCCAGCTTCGCATATAAGAAATAGATAACAATACAAACTTGTAACCCAAGCTTTTTCTGCATCCATACTATGGTTGCATCCCATGTAGAGTTTCATGAGTCATGAAAAAAAAACTTATTTATTTTCCCTCTAATTTTTAGACATGCCCTTTTTGAGGGGTCTTTCTCTGAGCTTGCTTGTTTTCTTGCAGACGTTTACTTACCCTGACTAGGTAATATCTAGGTATTAATAAGTAATAATAAGATCTAACCTAGTGAGGGTAAAGAAACGCCTTCAAGAAAACAAGCAAGCTTGGAGAAGGACGAAGGACCTTTCATTTCAATGTCGAACTACAAATGTCCTTTATTGACGCTCTTTTTTGTTCCTTTTTTCTATCAATACACACTGACATGTAAATAGAATGTTCTAATGAACTGAAATCTGATATAAATAGGGTTTGGGAGTGAGGGCAAAATAATGACTTTCTTCCCTTTTCTCTCACATGCACCATTTCCCAGCGGAATATCTGCATTTTTTGCTGAATGTTAGCCATATCTCACTACCAATTCTAGTTTCCCATCTCAGAATAAATGTTCCTGATTATTATGAAGCAGTTTTCCTCACACCAGCTATTCTTCACACCGTTCCAGGCACAGAGAATTGCATATACACATACACTTCTACACATGTATTAATTTAATTATTCAAATTCACACTCTTTGTTCCAGAGAAATACCTGACTTCAGTTTTTAATAGCCTTTTGAATGGTTCGAGCAAGTTATACAAGATTGATAGATATAAGAAAATACTTGGTCAATAAATCTTTAGAAGACCAATAACATTTTATTTAGACTAAAAAGATTGAAGGGAACAATCTTCAAATTTTCAGACTGAGATAAGAATCTAGATGTGGTGGGGAGAAAGTACACTTCATCAAGATACAGCAATGTAGCTCTGACTGTTACTCTATTAATATGGGGGGAAATAATTTAACTGTGGCTCATGAATATAAGCAAATATATTTATGAAATGTATCTTTTCCACTTAATACTTCATTTAGCTTTGGTATTAAAACATTTATCTACTGCTTCTAGAGATCATTTAAACAAAACACAGATGACTTCATCTCTTTATTATCAAAACATTTTTTAATTTTCTTACAAGCTTCAACTTTATATAACATCTTGTTTTAATCAAACTTGATAAGAAAGGTGGGATAAAAATAAATAATGCTCCCAAAAGCTTATACAACTGCTGTGATTGTATCTTGGTTACAAGAAATATGGCTTGACAGTTTAAAATGTAGGGAAAAAATACTATTAAAAATGCTAGAAAATACTAGGTAATCCTTGACTTATGACTACAATTGAACCCAAAATGTGTTTTGCTAAGCAAGATAGTTAAGAGAGTTTTATGATTTTTCTTAACACAGTAGTTAGGCGAATCACTAGAATAACACGGTTGTTAATCAATCTGATTTTGCTTATCAGTAAGTCACAAAAAGTGATCACATGACCTTGAGTCACTGCAACTATCATAAATATGAACTAGTTACCAAGCATCCAAATTTTGATCATGCGTCCATGGGGGTGCTGCAATGATTGTGTGAAAAATGATTGTAAGTCACTTTTTTCAGTGCCATTGTAATTTTAAACGGGCACTAAATAAATGGTTATAAATTGAGAACTAGCTGTATAAATGCAATATGTAATCCCGATCCATATAACAGCATTTCTGCAAACCCAATAAAATGTTTCCTTTTCTTCCTTTACTAATTAGAAAGCAATAGAATAGGGGTCTCAAACTCAAATGAATGCAGCCATATTACATAAAATATCCTAAAGAGAAGGCTACATTCATACACATGCAAAAATGCAACAAGTACTGAATGTTTAAAATTATTAATTATTAATCCAGTTATAATGTAATAATTTAAAAAATGGTTGCTAAAAACAAAGTATGTTGCACCAAAAATATTGTATCGCCATGACTACAATCTCCAATCTGTTTACTCTTTTACATCTCAGTATAGTTGTTTCTGTGTAACCTTGGTGCTAACGAGCATAGACAAATGACAGCATCATTGCAAAATTCCCTCCCTAGGCCTGTATGGTCATCACATGCCAGCACAGTGAGCGCACACAAAACAAAGCAGCAGGCCAGGACAATGACAATGAAGAACAACAGCCTGCTGTGGTAGGATTTGGGCTCTGGCAGCCCATTAAATTACAGAGCTGTTATGGGTTGCATGACGAGAGAGCAGGGCAGCATAATTCCAATAATGTCATTTACTTTTGAGTAGTAACAGGCTATTTGGGGGGGGGGGAACGACGACTCAGCAGCTTTCAAACCTCTGCACCAGTTATAGGGCAATGTTGGAAAAGCCCATGTAATCTGCAACAAAGTGGCACAATTGATACTACCCACAATGGAGGAATGGTTGGGGAAGATGATGGAACACCTGAGATGGCTACATTGACTTCTTTGATGAGAAAAAAAAGACAATATCTGTGTTTATTGCTGACCGAAAACCCTTTTTAGGCTTTTGGTGTGAAATAGAAAAATGAACTTAAAATTTATGACTTTGATGGTTAGACAAAATAGATTACAAAAAGAGAATCATGTTGCAACTCTGGAATGAGAGGTAAATTTCTAATTATAACTTCTGTAAAGAGCAGAAGCTACTAGTTTCTTTTTTATCTTTTATTTTTTTCCCTTGTCCTTTTAACTTTCTCCTTGATTTCTTTCTTCTTTTTTTATTTTATATTAGTTTGTAGTGTGTTAGCCTTTTATATTTAAAAAAATCTTTAATAAAAGCACTCTCTAAATAAGTGGTACAGTTGATAAAACTTTCAAGCTACATGCTAATATTCATTTTCTAAACAAATAGCTAACAACCTAATTTAATAGTTTCTTTAGTTATTTTTTTAAGAGTTATATAACAAGACAATGTAGGGGGTTTCTAAGAGATAAACTATAAAGCAGGTTCTTGGTTCGATTTTTCCTGCAGGTAGTCCTCAACTTATAACCCCAAATTTATGTTGCTAAGTGAGACATTTGTTAGGTGAGTTTCCCCCCATGTTACGACCTTTCTTGCCACTGTTATTAAGTGGATCACTGCAGTTGTTAAGTAAGTAACACGGTTGTTAAGTGAATCTGGCTTCTCCATTGACTTTGCTTGTCAGAAGGTCACAATGTGAATCTGGGACACCCCAATTGTCATAAATATGAACCAGTTGCCAAGTGTATGAATTTTGATCATGCGACCATGGGGATGCTGCAGTGATCACAAGTGTGAAAAATGGTTATAAATCACTTTTCAGTGCCATTGTTGCTTCAAAGTTGCGAAATGAGCTGTTGTAAGTCAAGGACTACCTGTGCCATTGATTTACTAAAAAATTTTTGCAAGCCACTTGTTCTCGGCCTCGGTATCTTTACTAATTAGAGCATAAGCATAAAGATTCCTATAATAATAAAGCTGTTTTTTTATACGCTTGAAAGGACTATGCAAGAAGGTATGTGCTGTTCAGTTCATGCAACCTGGATGTTATAGCATTCATGATGTGCATTTATATGCAGCAAAGGTAGGAATGTGCTAACAAGTCACATAACTAAATTAGGCATTTTTTTAAATAAAATTTTTATTTTCACACAAACACAACACATATAACATAAAAGCCTCTTCAACTACATACCGTGTGTCAATTGGTTACAAGGTCTTTCTGCGTCCTTTCCATAGTCATCACTTGAATTTTATCAAAATTCACATATTGTCAATCAAGATATCTTTGTATACATTATTATTATGCTTCCCTTGTTTGATTATCACTATTGTTTCTCAATTTTAGATAAGGTATGCTTGTCTAAAATTAGGCATTTGAAGAGCTAAAAAGAGGGACTTTGTATTTAGAACAAGGACTGATTGATTAAAAAATGAGCTGTCCCAGGAAAACATGATTAAAATAATAAGGTATTGAACAATGCCTAGTATGCCCTTAGCATTTAAATCAAGATTACAGCCTTTTCTGTTCAAAGCTGCATTTGTCCCATTTGCTGCATTTCTATAAAGGCTGCCATATAGCAGCAATGGGGCATCGCTTTTCCACCCTGCTAGATGGGCTGAGAATAGTTATGTTTTAGGAGGCCTTTGAAAATTATATTGCATCTAGTCTTAGAATGATAAATTCCTTACAGGTGGTCCTCAACTTACACCATTTGTTAGTGATAGTTCAAAGTTACTGAAAAAAATAAGAATTACAACCAGTTCTTGTACTTATGACCATTACAACTCCCCTATAGTCTCATGATCAAAATTCAGGTGCTTAAGTGTCTAGCATGTGTTTATAACAGTTGTAGAGTCTGGGGTGGGGGTGGGGGTTCATGTGATCACCATTTGCAACCTTTCCAGCCAGTTTCCAGCAAGTGAAGTCAATGTGGGAAAAAGTAGATTCATTTATAACCATCTGATTCATGTAACAATCAGCGATTTGCTTAACAACTTCAGCAAAAAAAAAAAAAAGATCATAAAATCAGACATGATTCATTTAACAGGTAGTTAAGTGTACTTAACTTGACTTACATCCACAATTGGGACTAGATTTTCTGCTGTTAAGCAAAGCACTTAACAATTCTGGTCCCAATTGTGGTTGTAAGTCAAGGACTACCTGTACAGTATTCATGATTAAACTGATCTGTCCCCTTGTTTTCTATCCTTCCATTCTAGAATATAGTGTTTTATATTGCTCAGTTCAGATGGGATGCACTATCATGCCATTACCTTGCCATAACACACAATAGAGAGAGGGCAGGGGAGAGGGAGAGGGAGGGAGGGAGAGAGACTGCACCTATGTAGAGTGTTTTCCCCTTATTATTGGGTTTGGCAGGCCTAGAACTTGTAGAGAAGCTGTATTATTGCAGTTGTTTGTTAGATGTCATGGATTCAGCCATGCTAGCTCAGTCATGGCTTAGTGTGGAGAATATAGTATGTTCGACAGAGTTTCCATCTGAAATAATATTTGTAAAAAAAAAAGAGAGAAATGTTTATGGAAAAGCCATATGTGACTCTCTGAAAGTTTGAAATATTTTTAAATGGAGAACATGTAATGGCTGAACTTGGTGAATGGCTGAACTTTTCTACTTTGTATTTTTAAAAAAGACTTTCAGAGTTGGATTATAAATATGACTTAGTGAACTAGAGCCAATTAGTTACAATGTGTTACCCTTAAATTCAACAGTGCCTATCCAAATGAAGTGCATTGGACTGCTTATGAATGATCCTTGATTGGTGATGTCATCTCTGCCTTGACAGGAGGGAAAGGTTTTCTGTCACAGCATCATCTCCTCCTGGGCCTGGTGTTACTGTTAAAACCAGCTGGATAAATGGAGCAAGAGTGTTTGGCTCTTCTTGCTACGTCTGTTCAAACTTCTCAATTGCTAGTGCAACAATGGATGCTGAACAGGCGTACTGTGATATTTGCCATAGCAAGGATTCTTCAGTGGAGGCGCTTTCGCCGGTCAACTACAGTGCTGAGGCGCATCCTCTCAGCTAGCGTCCGTCGTAAGAGAGCCTTGCTACGGCTTCATCGCAATGCTATAGTTTCTGTGGTCACTATGGTGTACTCATCTTCACCCGCACTGCATTATGAGCATGAGCTGATGGCCCTGTCTGAGCGATCACACTGGATGCTCCCCAGATGTAGTGAATGGTGGGAGCGAATGATTTCTTCAGAACAGGATGACAAGTGTTGGATTTCTTTATTCAGAATGTCACGCTCCACACTGATGTATATTGCTGAGGAGCTGCGTCCTGCCTTACAGCGTCGAGACACTGGCATGAGGTCACACATTCCTGTGGAGAAAAGGGTGGCCATGACCGTTTGGAAACTCGCGCATCACGACAGTTACAAGACTGTTTCGGAGCTCTTTGGAGTGGGAATTTCATCGGCCTGTTCAATCTTTGAAGAGGTCTGTGAGGAAATAAATAGTAGGCTCCTGGCCCAAACAATTTTCTTGGGCGATCCACAAGGTATTATGGAAGGCTTCAAGGATATGGGCTTTCCCAACTGCCTTGGTGCAGTTGATGCAATCCATATCTCCATCCTCTGCCCTCCCTTCTCTGCTGACTCCTACATTAATTGTAAAGGCTTCTATTCAATGGTGTTGCAGGCTCTAGT